ACTAGGGGGTCTGGCTGTGGGTTCATATAACCTTTTCTACACAGGAGTTATCAGAAGGCCCGTCCCTCCCCCCTCCATGCTCCCCTCCCTCTCCGTATTAGTACTACTGTGATCATAAGGATCTTGGTGCTGCTGAGTCCTCAAAGTCAATTTGATGGATTTAGAGATCATCATAGAGACATACTCTGGGCATGTCTGTAAGGGTGTTTCCAGAAAGGTTTAACTGAAGAAAGGATCGCTAAGACACACCCAGAATGTAGACGGCAACATTCCATAGGTTGGGGCACATACATAAAAGGGGATTAAAACTGAGCTGAGCACTAGCATTCCCTCCTCTGAGCTTCAGTGTGACCAGCTGCCTCACACTCCCGCTCCCTGCCTTCCCTGGTGGGATGGGCTGTAACCCTCACAGTGAGTCACAACCCTTCCATTCTTAAACTGCTTCTGTCAGGTACTTGGCCACAACAAGACAACACATTTCCCAAAGGTCTAACCAAGTAACCATCACCTGGGGAAGAGGACTTCAACAGATGGAGGCGGAGGGGAGCCACACACAAACTTTCAGATGTAAATCTTAACTAGGATGCTCTACTTTTTATTTCCCTGACACTGTCAGCTGCTCCTTTTCTTGTGGTGTGATAAAGTTCCAGGGGACTGAGGCAGAATCTAGACCGGAATGACTTCTGGTTCCTACCTAATCCCCCTCTCAATGTTCTCTTTCTCCCACTCCTAGCTCCTGAACTTTATTTCTTAGAATTCTCAAATCAGGTTTGTAGGATGACCCATCCCATAAAGTTGCTTTCCACTGCCACCAAGTCTGATGACCTGAGTTTGAATCTTGACACCCAGAAAGTGGAAAAAGAGAACATCCCTGCAAATTGTCCTATGACCTACACGCCCTCATCACCCTCATCCTGGTCTCCGAAAATATCCCTTGTTAACACAGAACTCAAGAAGGCATTTCGGGGGCAAACATCCTTAGTTCTGACTTCTTTCTCCTCATTTTCTTGCTTTAACACCCATTCAATTTTTACCTTCCTGCAGGCAGAGGGAAGACAAGGTGAATTGAACCTAGCTTATTTTCATAAACAATGACTCCTACCTCCTCCCCTGTGCACTATATATTTGATAATGTTAGTAGCTATGGGTTTCAAAGTGCACTCAATTTCCCGGCGCTCCATCACTTAGGCTGTTTTACAGTGTGTTTTTAGGGCATTACGGGTTTGCAGGTGACATGAATTTAGGTGACCTCCATATTCCACAGGGAGACCAGTAAAGAAGCTGAGATTGCTACTTCTCTCGAGCTGAGCTTTGCCGAACTGGGGGACGTACACCCGCTAAGCATCGAGGGATGTGACCGCGCGGGTGACAGTGGCCCGCGCAGCCCGGCACGCGCGGACGCCGAGAACTGCGACACGCAGCAAGGCCGCGAGAGGGCGCGAGCTCCACCATGGCGGCACGCCGACCGGGAAGAGAAGCGGTAGTCCGCCCCGGAGATGGGGAAATTGAGGCCGAGGAGCGGCGGGAACAGGGGCGCCCAGCCTCTTTCCGTAGCAGTGGGCCTCAGCAACCTGCCCCGACAAGGGGCTCCACCCCGTCTGCGCTCGCAGGGTGTTCGCAGCATCCGGAAGGTGACCAGAGCACTCGCCTGAGCGCCCATCTCTCTGCCCCGCTCCCAACCCGAGACCCTCCTAAAGCGGCAGCCAGGTCCTCGGGGCGCCGCGCTCCGAATGGCGCGAGGAGCCGTGGAGAACGCAGCTGAGTGGGGACGCCGGAGAGCGGCAAGCCCCGCCCCGCGGCCGGCGCCCTGACAACGCGAGCGGCCCGGGCGGCGCCGCCGCTCTCCGCCCCTCGGCCGGCACCAGGCGGGGCTGGGACCAGAGCGCCGCCGCTGCCACTGCCGCACGAGCTGTGCTGCTCTGCAGAGCCGGACCGGGAGCGGGGCCCGGGCCGGGAGCGGGGTGGGGGCCGCGGCCCTCGCTCTACCTTCTCCCACCATGAGCCAGGGAAGTCCTGGGGCCTGGGCCCCCCTCGATACCACCTCTGGGTCCTCTGCGTCCCCAAACCCGTTCGTGCATGAGTTACACCTCTCCGGCCTCCAGAGGGTTAAGGTAAGGTGTGGGCAGGGGACGTGTGGAAGACTGGTTGGGATGGGGAGACCCGGTGGTGAGGAGCCTTGGCTGTGATGGGCAGGGGGATGCCAGAGGAGGCGGATAAGAAGCTTGTGGGGAGGGAGTTAGGGGGCGCGCACGTGGGGGAGGCTGGGGGTGGGTAGGCGAGGAGCCTTGGTGAGGACTCGAGCTCAGGCGATAGACAGGCTCACAAGTGAGGAAGAAACGAAAGGGAGAGGAGGGAGGACTGAAGGGGACCCAAGGATAGGAGAGATGGAGGACACTGGGGAATGCGGATTACATCCTACGGAGGTTGAGGAGCTAGGATGGAGCTGGAGGCTACGGAAAGCCCAGGGTGGGGGCAGGGGCGTGCTCAGCGATCGGGGCTTCGACTTAAACGGTTTGGACCCAGAGACTGCGTCCTTGTGCCCTTCCAACACCTCCTCTTTCTGCCACCCCCACCCCCTCACTGCAGCACCTACTGGTGGGGGCAGGGAGGCTGGGAGGGGGGTTGGCTACAGGAAGTAGAGGGACGCACCACCCTGGGGTAGCCAGGAGGTGGTGTGGGGAGGAAGTGTCCAAGGTTTCTGTTGTGATCACCTCCCGTGAGGCCAGCCCCCGGGGGCTAGGTTTATTTACCTGCTCAATCCTAAGGACGCCTCTGGAGTCACCCTGGCACTTGGCAACCCTTTCCTTGCGGAATAGGGCTGAGTGTTACCTAAGGATTGCTGTTCTGCAGTACTAGGCTAGGGATTGATTGACCTGAGGCTTGCAAAAGTGGATCTCTGTGTTTCCAGCCATCTGCTCCTTGGGCCCAAAGTGTTGAAAGCCCTGCACGGGGTTTGTTTGACATAGGGGCTATTTATGGAATGGGATGGTGGGGAAAACTGTCTCTAACCTACATCAAACCCAGGGCTGGATACCTTCCCTACATTTTTTCATTAAATCCTCTTTTCATTTTTCTTTTTTTTTGCGGGGGGAAGGTGGATATAGGGTTTCTCTGTGTAGTCCTGGCTGTCCTAGAACTTGTTCTGTAGACCAGACTGGCCAGGAACTCACAGACAACCACCAGACTCTACTCCTGAGTGCTGTGTGGGCCACCACCTCCCAGCTCATTAAATCCTCACATCCATTCCGAATTCTAGATGCATTTATGACAGTAACCTTTGTAGGGGGAAAGGGTCACCTGAGATCGAGAAAACAAGGCACCTAGGGGTATTGAGCCTTTGTCCTCCAGGCCTCTCGAGCATCCCACTTGACTCCCTGTGCCTCTACGCTATCACCTACAGGACGTTAACTGTTTGCCCCATCAGACCTTGTAGGAGATGTTGCTGTGGAATGAGCCTTTCCCAGCCCTAAGGGACATTTTCTCCTGCCCTTCTGCAGTTCTGCCTCCTGGGGGTACTGCTGGCCCCAATCCGAGTACTTCTAGCTTTTATTGTCCTCTTTCTCCTCTGGCCCTTCGCGTGGCTCCAAGTAGCAGGTCTCACTGAGGAGCAGCTTCAGGAACCAATTACAGGATGGAGGAAGTAAGTGGGACCCAACTCCTAAGACCATTTCTCACCCTTAGATGCTCTGCTCCACCCACAGCACGAGTGCACAGACACATACACACACACACACACCAGGGTCTGGAACTGGTACATGCACTTTCAGAGGTGGTCCGTAGGACCCCACTTCTAAGTGACATGTCCAAAATACTTCAGCTCTATGGCCAACGTGTTTTGATGGGGACAGAGGGGTATCTTGCTTTCCCAGATGGATGGGGGACGTGGTTGATTGAGAGTCAGAACTCCCTCTTCCACTAACTCCCAGCCTCACCCTGGCAGGACTGTATGCCACAACGGGGTTCTTGGTCTGAGCCGCCTGCTATTTTTCCTGCTTGGCTTCCTTCGGATCCGAGTTCGGGGTCAAAGGGCCTCTCGCCTTGAAGCCCCTGTCCTGGTTGCTGCCCCCCACTCAACTTTCTTTGACCCAATTGTTCTGCTACCCTGTGACCTGCCCAAGGTTGTGTCCCGAGCCGAGAACCTTTCTGTGCCTGTCATTGGAGGTGAGAGAGTTCAAGAGGGTACAGGGGGAGGAATGGCAACCCCGGGGCCCCCAAAAAGTCAGAAATGGAAACACTGGCTTCCAGTGTGGAGAGAAAAGTCAGGAGGGGTACTTGTCTGTTGGCAGATGAATGTAAATTAACACCATTCAGTTTGTCAACTGATCTCAGGGCCCTTGGGGCTGCGGCCTGAGACAGAGACAAGGTGCTAGAAAGGACAGTCTACAGTAAATAGATTGTAGCAATAAGTGGATTATTGCACTATCTTCCACTGTTGAGGAAATTGAAGCTGTGAGATATGAGTGCCTCAGGGACAGAGGACCAAGTGACCCCTCCTTTTACTCTTCCCCGACCCAGCCCTTCTTCGATTCAATCAAGCCATCCTAGTATCCCGGCATGACCCAGCCTCTCGACGCAGAGTGGTTGAGGAGGTCAGAAGGCGGGCCACCTCGGGAGGCAAGTGGCCTCAGGTGGGTAAAGATCTTGAAGCTCTGCTCCTGTGCCTGACAGTTGCTCCTTCCTCCCCACTTCACTCTGTGCTTTGGGTTTTCTGTTTTTGTTTTGTTTTTCACCCAGGTACTATTTTTTCCTGAAGGCACCTGTTCCAACAAGAAGGCTCTGCTGAAGTTCAAACCAGGTGAGTAAAACGATAGTGGGCGGTGAGGCTGTGGGAGGAAGAGGAGAAGCAGCTCCAGCTTTGGGGGGGGGGTAACTCACAAAGTAGAGGGGGAGGTAAAGGGTAACAGTGACAGGGAGCCTCCTACCTCTCTGACAACGTGAGTTAGAGGGACATTCTTAGTAGAGCAAAGCCACATAGCATTTAGGATTTGTCCCAAGACCCTCATGCCATGTAGCTACCTCTGTGTACTAACTTCTGCCTTGGGGGATGGGGGTGGAAATGGGATTTAGGAGCCTTCATCGCAGGGGTGCCCGTGCAGCCTGTCCTCATCCGATACCCCAACAGTCTGGTGAGTCTCGGTGGAAGGAAAGGGTGGAAGCAGGGAGCATGAATCCCTCCCAAGTGGACATAAGTGGAAACTGCTGGTGCTGTGTTAAAGATCCGCATCTGGGGTGAAGCATGAGGTGAGGTTGGGGTCTGCTAAAGCAGACTGGCCAGTTTCCAGAAAGAGGGGTAACCTTCTGCCGTTCCTTCTGCTTTTCCTGTAGGACACCACCAGCTGGGCGTGGAGGGGCCCTGGCGTGTGAGTGCTATTGTTATAGGGGTTAGGTTGGGGGATGGGGTCCACCAGAGCACTTCTTGTCCAAGCTCTAAAAGAGATGACTGACCTATGGTGTAGGACTGAGGGAACTCTAGAGGAAACTGCCCTCTGACCTCCCCATATTACTTGGCAGTGTTTCTAAGCCTCCCACCTAAGACACCCCTGCTGTAATTACATTTCCTTATTTACTGTCCTGTGTTTCATGTTTACAGGTTTTGGGGGGGGGTGGAGTTGGGGGCTGGTTCTCAACTCAGTGGTCTCTTCTAGAGAGCCCATACCACTAGGAATGCCTCTTCCCTTTGCTTTAGTACCCAGACTTCTCCTCGCCTGCTGCCATTCCTCCCTGGCGTGTTTCCTGCAGCTTTTGTCCATCACCTTTCTGGCCCTTCTCACAACCTGGCTAACTGGAGCTAGGCATCCCATTTTTCTTTTCCTTTTTTTTTTTTTTGTTGTTGTTGTTTTTGTTTTTGTTTTTTGTTTTTCGAGACAGGGTTTCTCTGTGTAGCCCTGGCTGTCCTGGAACTCACTGTGTAGACCAGGCTGGCCTCGAACTCAGAAATCCACTTGCCTCTGCCTCCCAAGTGCTGGAATTACAGGCGTGCGCCACCAGTGCCCGGCCCCATTCTTCATATCACTGAGAGAACGTCCCACTGCCTTGCTCAGGAGCAGCAGCTCATAGTTAAACAGTGGCAAACACCCATCTCTCTCCCCTTAGACTCAAAGTTCTATGGCTCACCGCTTCTCAGCCCTGCAGCATTGTGGATGTAGAGGTATGAACCCCTTCATGGGATGGGGAAAACAGAGTAGTTAATCATGCCTTGCTTTCAAGGTCCTGATGAGAGCTGTGTCTGTGTTTCAGTTCCTCCCTGTCTATCAGCCCAGCCCTGAGGAAAGTAAGGACCCCACCCTTTATGCCAACAATGTCCAGAGAGTCATGGCACAGTGAGTATTACAAGTTACTTCCTGCTGTTCCATGAAGTATTTCCTGGAGCAGTTCTGATGAGCAGAGGAACCACAAGGAGATGCAGGAGGTTTTGAGGCAAAGATAAGGGATAATGGGAAAGGGCTTAGAGACAGGCGAGACCAAGGAGAGAAAAAGGCAAAAGAAACTGACCATATAACAGAGTGTAATGAAACCTCAGAAATGTCTTCTGCTGCCGCCTCTTAATCGCCATCCTTCTTTGTTCTGAAGGGCCCTGGGCATTCCAGCCACTGAATGTGAATTTGTAGGGAGCATACCTGTGATTGTGGTGGGCCAGCTGAAGGTAGCATTGGAACCACGGCTCTGGGAGCTGGGAAAGGTGCTACAGAAGGCCGGGTAAGTTACCTTGAAGGTGAAGATGTCCCAGAAAGGGGAAACAAGGGCAGGAAGAAGTACTGTGCTGCATTCGGTCCTCAGTACAGGGGCTCAGGAGACAGCATCTGATCATGCGCTAGGAGCCTAGTGCCAGGGTAAGGCTGTGTATGGCATATCCAAAAAGAAACTGAGTCAACTCTGCTGTCATCAATTTTGTTGTAGGCTGTCCCCGGGCTTTGTGGACATGGGGGCAGAGCCAGGCCGGAGTCGAATGATCAGCCAAGAGGCGTTTGCCCAGCAGCTGCAGCTCTTGGATCCTCAGACAGTGGCTGGTGCCTTCAGCTACTTCCAGCAGGTAATGGGCTAGAACCCAGGGTGACATGGACGGCCTTCCAAGCCAAGGAGCTCAAGATTCAGGGGTGATGTCCGAGTGATTATTTTTGGCAAACTGTATTTCCAGAAATATGACCCAAGTATCCTGTCAACTTATAATTCTAGTTTTTGTTTGTATTAAGAGTACACTCAAGTTTTTATACTAGACAGGTCCTCTTTATACCACTCACAGGGCCCTTTCTGTGCTAATAGAACACAGGCTATGGGTCTCTGGATCCTCAACATTCAGGGGCAACAGAGGCAAAGGATCATAAGTTTAAGGCCAACCTAGGTGTTACAGTTAGACCCTTCTAAAAGTTTTAAAGTAATTAAAAATTTTAAGTTTTGAGCTGTGTGCATTTCTTAAATTGAGGAAGGCCATCTCCATCTCAGCTAACATGTCCCCTGTAGCCATAGCACCTATCCTGCTTAGATTTTTATCATTAAAAAAAAAAGTTAGGCCAGTGGCCCCCACATCTGTTGGACCAGTTCTCCCACATAGTCTGAGTCAAAGGAAAACCAGTTTGTCTGGGTTGGAAACCAGGATTCTTCCCTTGTGGTATATCGGAATGGACAGTAACTTCAGAATTCCTGGGGGATCCCTTGACATTTCTAGATCTCTGTGGGAGGGCGTGGTCACCACGTGGCTTGGCATAGCTTATAGCAGTAAGCGATAGTGGAAGGAAGCACATGGCCTGAGAATTCCCAGGAGTCCTGGGGAGTGTGCTGGTGAGTTCTGAGCAGACTGCTCACAAGCATCGTTTCTAAGCCTACTGAACAGAGGCCAGAGGCCAGGGGGAAGATGTCCAGTCCCCACATTGCTCTGATTTTTCACCTTCCAGGATGCCAAGGGTTTGGTGGACTTCCGAAATGTGGCCCTAGCACTAGCAGCCCTGGATGGGGGCAGGAGCCTGGAGGAGCTGACCCGCCTGGCCTTTGAGGTACCTTTGAAGGACAGTTGAGATGCTTTACCCCACAGCTCCATTCCAGAACGGCAGTATCTTGTACTGTTCCCAGTTAGCTCTTAGATAATGCAAACTCAGGGCCTTCCCTATGTCCAGAATCTCCCACCAAAGCCTACCTGGGAACAAGAAGGCAGAAGCTAGCAGTTTTACACTTGTCCTAAAAGAACACATACTAGAGATCCAAGAAGGCTTACATGCAGCAGTCTTGGGAAAAGAGGAGCTCATCAGGCCGACTTCCTGGGCAATGCAAGGCACTGTCTGAAGTAGAGAACTTAACAGGCATCTCCCCCCCCCCATCTCTCTCTTCCAACCCCTCAAGCTCTTTGCAGAAGAGCAGGCAGAAGGATCTGACCGCCTGCTGTACAAAGATGGCTTCAGCACCATCCTGCACCTGTTGCTGGGTTCGCCCCGCCCCGCTGCCACGACTTTGCATGCTGAGCTGTGCCAGCCTGGATGCAGCCAGGGCCTCTCCCTCCGTGAGTCTGCCTTCTTTGCTCCATGCAGACTCTGGAGGCACTGTCAGCACCAGGATACGTTCTGAGCACTGAGCTGGCTGATAAAGAGAGCTAGTGGCCAGTGTCAGGGACCAGAACCTCTGAGAGGAGGCCAGGAGGGTGGGAACCCGGCAAGTGAGCAAAGAAGTACCAAGCTGTATTTGAGAAGGCAAACGGACTAGCAGGCTGGGTTCTGAGAAAAGAGAAGGGTGGGGTATTGCCCTCTCCTCACTCTCAGGTGGTATAACTTTTCCATTTCCCACTCTTCCTGAACAGGTCAGTTCCAGAACTTCTCCCTCCATGACCCTCTGTATGGCAAGCTTTTCAGCGCCTACCTACGTCCCCCCCACAAGCCTCGAAGCACCTCCCAGATACCAAATGCCTCATCCCCCAGCAGCCCCACTGCCCTGGCCAACGGGACTGTGCAGGCCCCCAAGCAGAAGGGTGACTGAGTACCTCAGCCTCCCACTCTTTCCTCAGCTCAAACCCAGCCCTGCTCTCAGGACAGCGCCAGAGGCCTATCCTCTGCCTCAACCCCACCTCTGCTCCTGTTTGATTTTTTTGGTTATCATTGGTTTTTGTTGTTGTTGTTGTTTATTTTCATTTTTTGTTTGGTGGGGTCTTTTTGTAAAAGACTATTTTATATATAAATATAAATATATATCTATTAAAAAAAAAAAACCTGAACCTGAAGCTTAGTCCTGAGGGTGGAATCATTAGTTGTGAAGGAAAGAGATGAATGGTTGGTTGTCACATTTCCATTGGAATTTCCAAAAACTCCAAAGGTTGATCTTGGCCATACCTGAATTCTCTCATTCACAAGCAGACTGGGGTGTTTCCTCTATGGAAATCATACAGTGATTTTTTTTTATATCTGCCCCTCCTGTTACCACCTACTAAATACGCACATCTTAATTGACTTCTTCATGAGCCTCTTTTTCAGCCCGTTCCCTCTCGTTCTGCCCTCATTAAAGATGAAAATAGAGCTTCCTATCATTCCATATTTAACAGTCCCACTGAGAGTTTATCCCATCGCCCATACTCGGAGCAGAGCCCTGTGTCAGGAAGTGAGCCTCCAGGTCACACCAACCTCATGGTGCTTCCCTACAGTAGCATGAGCTAAGGAACATAAAAGTCCTCCCTCTCCAACCCTTAAAGGAAGAAAAGACTCCTTCCCCTCCCCAATCTTGCTTTCCTAGCACCGAAGGTGCTACGTGTCTTGACTCACATACATAGAATAAATTAGATTTAGGAAATTTGATATGACCTACAAAAAGAATCCCCCTGCCCCATAGACTTAAAGGAGACAGACAATAATAGGCTATCCAGACAAGACCTGCCAATGCCAGGCAGGTTCAGTCTTGGGAAGAGGAAATCCCTTTTGAGTCTACTGTTTTGGAATCTTACCTGATCATGAAAATGATTCTTAGCAGAACACTACAGAGAACTAAGATAAGGCTAGCAGCGTGGTCAGTGGGTACACAGAACCTGCCTTTGTTATAATGCTTTGCTCTATGCTCTTGGCCAGGATACTCACACAGAAGAGAACATAACATTTTCCAACCACAAACTTTTATTTTTCCATATAACTTCTGAAAGCCAAACTTTCCCTTCCCACTAACTGGACCCCCTGCAACCTAGCCAGTCTGACCTACCCCAGGCTCTCACAACTTCTTGCACAACAACAAAAGCAACATTGGGCTGAGGCTGCTTCTCCACTGGGGAGCCGCAGCAGTAAAATAGATTCTGGGGCACCTCTCTTTGGGTGCTGCTAGGTAGAGCAGGGTGGCCCTCTGCTTCCTACTGGCTACGACGTCGTTTCTTTCTTTTGCTGGTGACAAAACTGTCACGTCGTCTTTTACGAGGCTGTGGGAGCTGTGACATACCCAGAGCAAGGGGTTTCTGCCCAGAACTACTAAACTGACCTCCTTGCTGGGGTCTCTCTACAACAGTAGCTGGACTCCCAACTAGGGCTTGCTTCCCAGACTTGGGAGGGGGTGAAGGCTGGCTGTGGTCATCTACTTCAGCAGAGTGGCAGGATGTTTTCACAATTCCCTGACCTCCTGAGGATGTTTTCACAATTCCCTGGCCTCCCGAGGCTTGTCGAGTACTAAGGGGAAGCCCTCCTGTGCAGAGGCTAAGTTTTGAAGCCAAAAGGTAGGTGAAGTTGGAGAGCTCTTTGTCTTCCTCCTCCTTCTCTGCCTCACTTCCTTTGGCTGTATCTGCTGATGTTTCTCTAATAGGGATTTCTCTCAGAATACAAGCATCCCTGGTTCCCCACCTTGGGGAAGTACGTCCCTGACCCTGGCCAGATGTCGATTTGGTTGTCTGATGTGTATAAGATTCTTGATTACCTTGTAAAGGAACAAGGTCAGTGGGTTTGGAGGAAACTGTGTCTTCCCTGCCCTCTCCTTGGAGGTTATAAGAATTAAAACTTGATGAGCAGGAATCCTTGCTGACCCCTGGTTGGGGGCCACTGTCATTTCTAACTTCTAGTATGTTGACCTGTTCTATGTTTTCCAGCATAGGAGGAAAAAGATTACCTCTGCTCTCTGCCTTTTGGCTAGCCTGGGGGAAAGAGGAGGTATCTTGGGTCCCAATAATAAGGAGATTGCCTTGGCATGTGGGTATCAGGGTGTCTTTGGAAGACCCCAGTGTGGAAGAGTCAAGTGTTTGCAGCAGTGGGGGGCAAGCTTCAGCCCACAGATCACTAGGATTCTGTATAGTTTCAGGGCTCAGCTCTTGCTTTTCTTTGGACCTCAAACCTGTACCACTGGCTCTCAAAGACCCTGGCAAGCTGCAGGAGTTTCTCTTTTCTGGGACGGCTGTTTTATCTGTGCCTCCACAGGGAATCACAATGTTCCCCGCATCCTTGGGCACTGTGTTTTTTCTAGGACCTGGAGAAGTACTGTTTTTAGAACTCAGTGCCTGGTCCTCTCTTCTACATGCCTTATCTTGGATGCTATCTATGACATTTTCGATTTGTAAGGGAAACTCTAAACCTACAGGATCCATGTCACTGCTCAGCCACAGTCCTGGGCTGAGAGAAACCCTGTCTAGGTTGCCAGCTCCAGGGGAATGCTTCTGACTGTAACTCTGAACCACATCAGGACCTCTGTCATCTCCCCAAATGACTCTTGAAGAGCCCTTCTGGGAAACCACTGAAGGTTGTTCTCTTCCTTGAGTAAGCATCCCAACTCCCCCGATCTGCTGTCCAATCTGCTCTCCTATCTGCAACACCAAGGCCTGTTTCTCTAACACAAGTCCTTGCAGAGGAACTGGCTCTATATGTCCAACATCTAAACTGGAGGCTCTCATGTGTTGGGGATCTTCTTGCCAACAAAAAGGTAAAACCTCTGGATTCCTATCTGCTACTGGGTAGTGCCCAGAGGACTCAGTACCTCCCAGGTGGCCATCATGAGTGGCAGATAGCTGTTTTATAGCCTTCCCAGACCCTTTTCTCTCCATATCCAAGGGTACTGGCATTCCCTGTGAAGCTGTGAGTTCTAGCTGCAGGTCCCAGCTGCTAGGGGATGGCAGACTATTTCCATCCTTGTGAATCCCCCTTGAACCACCTAGTGTTTGTTCCTGCCCACCATGCATTTCTCTTGCCTGCTTGCCTGGAAAAGCAGATTTTCCAATGCGAACAATGCCCGCAGCCCCCTGAAGCCCAGGTGAGGGCCGATGCCTTTGACCCCCATCTTCATCTTCATCAGAAACAGAAGGACTTGAGTCTGACTGAGCTCCACTGCAACTTGGAGGTGTCTGTGCATCTTCCTCCTCCAAGGCCAAGAGTCGTTTCTGGACCAGCTGGAAGGGAATGGACAAATGCCAGTTCTATACATGGTTGGGAGAAGAGGTGGCTGAGTGGGTGATAGGAGATGGTAGATGGTGTGGGGAAGAAAAGCAAGTTTAAGTGATGGTATCAAAGATAGATATTGTAGCTCTTTCTGCATTAGAGCTTTGTTCTTTTCTGCGAGCCTTTCCTCGTCCCTTACCTACTCGTCCTAGACTGTAGGCATAATGGTTTTGTGCACTGTATGAAGATTATACTTGTGTTATTCAAATGCTGATTTCTATGCCCTCATATGACCCAGAGCCCAACCCTAAATCCTCTAATAACAGTATTAGGATATCAAAGGGTTATACAAAATCAGCCAGGCTCCTTTTCCTGGTGTGTTCTTTGCCTCCCAACTTTACCTGGGCAAGAGTAAGTCTTTCTTCTTGTTCTAGCTCTTCAATTAAAGCCAAAGGATCTCTCTGCTCTTCTGGGGACAGCAGGTCTGCCAGAAATTGAGGGTGAATGACCGCCTCCACCTGGGGAGCAGAAAGAAGAGTGGTGTAAATCTTGATAAGTAATCTGTAAGTCCAGGTGCTCTAGAGACAAAGCTATGAGGCCCATGCCCCCACTTTCACACTGGAATTAGTTATAAAAATTTGTGGTAGTCCTTACCATTCTACCTATATGTATACTTATTTCCAAATTATAGAATGGAGTCTACTGACTTATGCAGAACCCTAGATTGCTAGTGCCCCATAGTACCCAACTCCCAGATATCTATTTGAAATTGTAGAATGGAGGCTCTTACCATATGCAGAACCCCAGAGAGCTGATGCCCCATAGTGCCTAGCTCCCAAATATCTATTAGAAATTAGCCATGTAGACCTAGCTCACCTTGGAGACAAAGACTTCCTGAGAACATAGTTCATCAATGTAGCTCAGAAGACTTGGATCTGGATACATCCCTACATCCTCCTGTTGCCCCTCTTCCTCTTCTGTCTTCCCAGTGTCCACATGGCTCCCCATCAGCCCTTCCATGATGTCAATATATTCTTGCACAGCTTCAGGTGGGATCTCTTTGGGTGCCTCAGGAACTGGAGGCCTTTGGGGTTTGCGCTGCCGCCGACGGGGAGCCCGAGTCTTAGAGGCTGCCTTCTTCGGAATATACACTGAGGGAAGAGATGGAGAGTGGGAAAGAAGCTTTGGTATCTACTTCCCAGTGATACTTGTAAGGGAAGAAATCTGGGTTCAGGAAATGGTTCTCGAATAGGATCAAGTTTTTGAGGGAGAAAACATAAAAAGCTGGAGGGTATGAGAGAGAACACTGCTAGAAATCTTTCCACACACCTTGACATTCCAAGAGACCACCTGATCCAACCCCATTTTTTAGGCTGATAAAGTATAGGGCTCATGCACAATCTAGATGAGAGAGTAGTTAGTTTACTTGGCCAAGATCAATAGCTAATTCAAGACAGAAGGAGCCAAGACCCCAGTTTCCTATGGGACATTGTGTTTGGCTTATACAATGTCACTTCCAGGAAAGACAGCTACAGAAGCAAAAGCAAGAGCATTTCCTAATCCTCATCTGCTTTGTGGGTAGCCTTACCTGGCTGCTGGCAAGCCTCAGGGACCATGGACCCTGGAGGATCAAGTTTCAAAGGGGCTATAGGGGACAGACCGGGGGACCCATTCATCAACTGTGTGTTCTGTATCTGTGTTTCCTCCTCAGCCTCAAACTCCATGAACCTGCAGAGGGTAAAGAAGGAACAGGCAGGGCTGGAGAGATAGCTCAGTGATTCAAGTCCCTGCACCCATATGGCAGCTCACAATTATCTGTAACTCTAAGATCCGACACCCTCACACAGAAATACATACAGGCAAAGACACCAATGTACATTAAAAAAAATTAACATTAAAAAAAAAGCACAGTCTGTGGTAAGAAGGAGAACCCAGTCCATCAGTAACATAGACACCAGGCAGCATCCACACATGGCCAAGAAACCAAGCACCCTCATTCTGGCTAAGTACTTGTTGAAGTCGGGTCAGCCAGGGGAAGGTGCTCACAGGTAGGTATTAGCCTAATGACAGTTCGAGGAGATGCCATTATATTGTCCCTTCACCTTCAATGGTTACTCAAAAAGCTAACTAAAGAAACTGGTGGTAGATAGCTTGGATCACTCTCCAGGACAAAGTGATATCTTCTACTTCTGTGCCATGTCAGTCTCACCCAGTGCTCGGATTAATTATTATCATACAAGTTTGGTGAATTCATTGTAAGTGTGGCCCATGTAACACTCTAGAGGTACACTCTAAAGGGTTGCTCCTCATCTGCCCCTTTCTACAGCTGAAAATGATGGCAGAATTTCTGAAGCAGAGCCCACTAGAGTGCAAAAGCTGGAACAAGTCCTCAAGGGTAAACCTAGGAAGCTGAAGGTTCAGACTCAGGGAAAAAAAAAAAAAAGAAAGGAAAGGTACATTTGGAGGAAATGATTCTTTCCCCAGTTGCTGTGATAAGGATTCTCACTATGTTGCCCAGACTGGCTTTGAACTCCTGGCCTAAATGAAACTCCCATGTCATTCATGGGGCCATGTGTGCTAACTCACAACATAACAGTCAGCTAAAGTTACTTTTTTTAAGACATGGCTATCCTGTACAAATGGGGGAGATGAAGAGCCAGGAGACCACTCTGGGTATTCAGTACCCTGTTTCTTCTGGCTAACCTTGTCCAGAATTGGTCCCTCCCTGGAATGGGGAAGAATGGGTTTTCTGTACTATTTTAAAAAACAAAACAAGCTAACCATGAAAGGAAAAGTGCTCGTGAAGTTCCACATCAATAGCCACTTGCCATCGGGTGAGCTAAAGAGCCTTCAGGGTGAGGTTCTCTCAGCGTGGGATTTTTAGTAGCCCTGTGTTCAATCCTATGCTAACACTCTCAATATGAAAGACACATACAGATCCAAGACCTGGAGACGGGAGCTTTCAAGTACAGACAGGATAAGCCAGGGAGCGGTAGCACGTGCCTTTAGTCCTAGCACTTGGGAAGGAGAGGCAGGTGGATTTTTGAGTTCAAGGCTAGCCTGGTCTACAAAGTGAGTTCCAGGACAGTCAAGGCTATACAGAGAAACCCTATCTTGAAACCTCCCCCCACACCCCAAAAAAAGAACAGACAGGATGGAGTAACCCCAGAGCTGAGATGGTAGAAGCAGGAAGGGTCCAGGAGACCTTCATGTGGCCTACAGCCCTCCTCCTGTGGCACTACTTTATTTTTAAATTTATTCCATTTATTTTTTTTTATTTGTGTGTGTATGTATGCATGTGTGGGTACCATGTGTATGTGTAAACCTCAGAGGACAGCTTCTGGGAGCCCCTTCTCTCTTTCCTCCATGTGAGTCCTGAGGATCAAACTTGTCAGGCTTGTGGTACCTGCTGAGCCATCTTGCTGTTACTCCCCTCCCCCAACATACACATACATTCACCTGCCTGCCTCTGCTGCCCTTGTATTCGACCACTCCCCCGCCCCTGCGGGGTGAATGAGGGTTCATCAAACTCACTTCTCTGCCATCTCATAAAAGATCATCCGGTCAAAGTTGCTGGTCCGCTCCCATTCCTGCAGAGCCCTCGGCAGTCCCTCCTCCAAGGTCATAGTAGGCTTCAGTCGGGCCAAGGAACGAAGCACTGGGCTAAAATCCCCATTAGGTCAGACACATTGTAAAAGTGTGCCCTGCACCTGTTCTGATGCCCACCGCAGTTCATATCCCCCCTGTTTCTCACCAAGCCTAGTATATCCCCCAGGCCCTGTCATGTTCCATTGTAATAAGACCTCCAGACTCCACAGCCTTGCTTCCCGTTGTTCACCCTTCCCACTGAGATGTGCAAATCCCACAAATCAAAGGATTCTTCTCCTGACCTTCTGAGAACAAGGGCACCCACCTTTAATTCTCTCAGTGCTAGCCTTAACTGAACACTAAGAAGGAAACACTCGGGTTTGTAACTATAAAATGGATTTAACCCTGTTGGTAGTAGTGGTACATGTCTTTAGTCCTAGCACCTTGGAAGGCAGAGGCAGGTAGATTTCTGTAAGTTTGAGGCCAGCCTGGTCAACAGAGCTAGTTCCAGGACAGCCAGAGCTACACAGAAAAACCCTGTCTTGAGAGAGAGTTGGGGGGGGGGGGGG